AAAAACGATGAAAACAGTTAATGGTAGCACATCGAGCCTTCGAAAGCACCTGCTTGTCCAGCACAGCCTCGTTCCGTCACCTCCACGCAGGACTGTCGCTCGTAAAAAAACCACTTCACTTTCGAATGAAAAGAAAGCTCGTTTGGATCATCTGTTGAAATTGGCCACTTTCAAAGACGGCAGATCTTTTGGAGATTTTCGGAAGAGTGGAATGAGCAAGTTTTTGGCCGAGGCTGTTCCAGGTGAGAGCCTTGTCCATCCGAAGACATGTCAGAAGATGTACTATGCTTGCAAACGTTCTTCTCGCTGAAAGGATGACTTCTTACATAGAGAACTAGTCTTCATTACCAGGGACACTCGTGAGTCAAAGCGGAGAGATTCTCTTTTCGATCATTCGAGTGAACACTGACGTTTATAGTTACCTTCAATAATATTCGAGGAGGAATGGAAAGGTTCCGGGTCTAATATGAGTAGAGGGTGAGAACGAGGTTGAGTTTGCGTATTCTTCAGAGGTGTTAGGCTTCTCAGATCTGTTGTTCTTGCATCCTGTATGCATTCGTGTTATTCTCTGTTTAGGCTATCGCCCTCCTCACCGAAATCAAATTCAACGCGAACTCAAACGTCTTCACAGTGTGTACATGTCACAGCTGAAACAGAAACTGATCGATGTACGTTCGATGGCATTGACTACCGACCTCTGGTCTGACCGAAAGAATCGATCGTACCTTTGCCTGACTGGTCATTCTTTGGACAACGATATGACCATGCAATCGACAATCATACATTTCCAAACCTTCGACGATCGTCACCTTGCCGCCAATATTGGCGCTGAAGTGAAAAGTCGTCTTCGCGAGTTGGATGTTGAGCATAAAACAACAACCATCACTAGTGATGGTGGATCAAACATTCGAGCCGCCTGCGCAACGCATCTGAAGATCAGCCGTGTTTGGTGCGTGGCGCATCGTTTTCATTTGACCGTTTGTAACGGACTTGGTCTCTGGAAGAAGTTTCTGAAGAAAGAGACTGACAACAGTGATCAGTATGGCGTGATCGATTCACAAATCTCCGTCGATTCTTCTGATTCTCAAGACCCAGATGAAGAGATTATGGAAACTAGTGACGAGTCTGCAGGTGAAGTCGATCGATTGTTGTCCATTCTCCGGAGTATTTTCACGAAGCTTTCTTTTCATAGGTGAAGAAGGTGATGAAGACGAAGACGAAGACGAAGATAGAGCGAATAATGATTTAATTCACGACAGGTGGAGTGAGGAAGTCATTACAGCCGACGATTCTCCGATGGATGTTGATGACAACGACAGCGAACAGTTGGAAATAACGAAGACACAGTTGGCCGAGACAATACAAAAGTGTAGATCATTGATCAAGTCGGTGAATCGCTCGCAGATATTGACCTCCTTTTTGAACACTGAAAGGACTAACCTCGGTGTCTCTCGCCGATTGATGCAGGACTGCATCACCCGATGGAATTCAACGTTCTCGTCTCTCCAGTCTCTACTTCTGAACAAACAAGTGATAACCAATCTGTTTGCTAACAAACGACGACTACCAATCTCTGTGAAACTCGTTGAAAAACTGACAGTGTGCGAACTGTCAAGCGATGAATGGGTTATTATTAATCAAATCGTCTATGTTCTCAAGCCCTTCTACGAAGCCACGCAACTACTGAGTGGATC